TTGTTACTGCACAGGCCTGGCACACACGTATCTGCACCCTGGTGTCTGTCCATCTGCTATTGCTCCTCACAACCCACCTACCCCCTCTGCTTCCAGGCTCAGCCTCTGTCTTCCCTACCTCCTAGAGTCTCCCTCCTCCCTCCACAGGCAGAGTGTGCTCCCTACTAGTCAACTCCAGTGCTCTTGGGAATGGTGCTCCCTGGGACACAGTAAATGAAGGCTTTAGTGCTGTGATTTCAACAAAGCTCTGCTCCTAACTGAGGCCATTGGAGACACTGCCTTCCTCCTGTTTCTAGCCAGCCTGGAGAACGGAATCATCCCCCAACCCCCTACCCCGCATTTTATTTTCCTTGTCTCCACTTATTTCAAATGCACTGCCTTTTTGTTGTTGCAATACTTGGGGATGGAACCCAGGTCCCCACATATGGTAGGTAAGTGTTCTCCCATTCTCACAGCCCAGCACTGCCTCCTTCTCCCCCTTTTCCTCTCCTCCTCTCTCCCTCTTTCTCCTTCTCTGTTCTTCCTGCTTCTTATGGCTCTGAGAACTTAAGCCGGGGTCTCATATATGCTAGGCAAGTGATTCCAGGCCAAATCGGTTAATTCTTTAAAAACAAAATTTTTTGTTGTTATTACATTGTGTGTGTGTGTGTATGTGTGTGTGCCCGCGCGCGCATGCCCGCAGTGCTCATCCCATCTGTAGAAGTCAGAGGACAGTGTGCAGGAATTGTCCTTGGCAGCAAACTTTTCTACCCGCTGAGCCGTCTGCCTGTTCCCAGATTATTTCTTAAGAGTGTCTCCTCCTCCATAGCTTGCTACTGTTTCTCATTTTTTTCTGGACCTAAATTTTCCAGGCCAAAATATTTGCTATTTCAATCTTAGAATGGTCTGTTTCTCCATGGAGTACTTTTTTTCTTTTAGTGGGAAATGGTAGCTAGCAACCAACATCTCAGTGTTAATGAGCTTAATTAATTCTCCAGGCAAACAAGTTAAAAAGAGGCTGGTCTGTGGTGCTGTTTGTAAAAGTGAGGAGATAAGAGAGAGTATATTTGGGGCTCCTAATAGGAGGGGATTGAGTCGGGGTCCACAGATCTCCAAGAAGGAGGTGAGTCCCATGGGCTGCACAGGGGTGGTTAAAGCCATCCAGCCCCTCAAGGGCTCAGTAGACGTGTTCCAGAAAGTTATGTCTGAAAGTCGGACAATGGATTCGAGGACCAAATATTCTTTCTTGCTGATGCTTTGGCCAGGGTCTTGCTGATGACAGGGGTGTTCCAGCACACCTGACTTCAGGTATCTTGATATCCTTTCAGATCTTCGTTTCCAGGGCTTTCTTTCTCGGGTGTTTTCCACCTTATTGGTTAGTTGCATAAATCAGTTCATGAAAGACTCCCCCAGAGGAGCCCTTCCTACCCAGAAGAACTGGCACAAATCACTGCGAGAAGAAAAGATGCCATTCCTTTTGAAGAGTCCCCATGCCAGGATCAAAAGTGATGCTGTGTTAGTCATATGAATTTATACCTTCCACCCGGAGAACACAGAAAGGCTCCTAATGGCTTGCCACGTTATGCCTTTTGGAAAGACACCGTTTCTGTCTATTCTAACCACTGACTGTGAAATAAACTTCAGAAACTGAAGGTGGGGAGCTGAGTAGAGGAAATCAAAGTGAGGCCAGGATCAAAGGGACAAAGAGCCCCCGAGATCTCAAGGGGGAAGTAGAGCCATTGACTCCCCTGGGCTGCCTTTTCCTGGTTTCCCCTTTAATAAACACCCTGGGTTCCTCCACCAGGTCCCGGGCAGCCCAGAGAGAGAGGCCCAACTCCAACTACAAAGAGAGCAGGGGAAGAAAGCACTTAGCACTTGGGGAGGGAAGACAGGCCTCTGATATTTGGGTGTTGGGGATGGAAAAAGTCGGGTGGGGGGGTTGTGGAAGATGCTGAAGGGACAGCAACAATGGTCTTGTCTGTCCCAGCCTGCTGTGGCTCTGGGTGGCCAAGGCTTCCCCCATGCACAGGTGTGTCTGAGAATTGCCTTCTATATCACCCAGGCCTCACCTGTGTCTGTTTCAACAGACGTTATCAACACCAAATAGAGTACTGGCCCGAAGCATTTAGCACATCATATGAGCTGACTCTGGGCTTGGAGTGGGCACATCCAGACCTTAATCTCAGCTATGGCTGTCTGAGCTAGCCTTGAACTTCAATCTACTACTCTGCTAGGGCACTGGCCTGTTGCTGCCTAATAAGGTCCTTTAAGCTTATTAGCTTCACAGTGTATCTATTTATGAAAAAACTCTCTCTCTCTCTCTCTCTCTCTCTCTCTCTCTCTCTCTCCTCT